GGGGGTTGGGGATCCCCGCGGCCGGGGTGCGGGTGTGGGGTGAGGGGGAGGGGGTACTGGGCGGGGGTGTGGTGCTGCGGGGGTGATTTGGAGGGGGCGGGGATCGGGGATCACCGCGGCCGGGGTGCGGGGGTGAAACCCCCACCCCGGCTTGGGCCCAGAGATCCCCGCGTGACAACACTGGGTATAACGCAGTTCGGACCCCCCGTGGAACAGCTGGGTCAAAAGGGACATATGGGGCGTGGAGGAAAAGAATTGGCAAACGGAACAAAAGTTGAAACCTCTTCTAAAACATTCCCATCACAAGGGGAGAACTTGGAGGAATTGATATTTTCCGTACCCCTGGATTGGGTGCGCATCTTGCGCAAAGGACGGTGTCTACAAGAAGGAGACTGGGTGGCTATCCCGGGTGATCCAGAAAGCGTGGGGAATGTGGTGTTGGTATACACACGGGAAGCACTGGTGAATCTCTTTCATCGGGAAGATCACGATAGGTTAAAGAGGTATCACCCTGATGTGCTGAGATGGTGGAAAAAGATAGATTTGCACCGCATCCGGGTACTCCATTCGCAAGAGGACTGGTTCACTTTCCTTCCTGAGACCCCACTTGCTAAACTTTGTTTCGATCTGGAGGAATGGCAATTGAATCCAGCAAGTAAAACAGGGGTAAACAAGACTGTATTCACCTTGTCAGTGAAATCTGCCTACCGCCTCCTGAGACCAAGGATAAATGTGAAAGACATTGTGAGAGAGCGATGGCTAACCCATCTGAATGTGGTAAGGGATGCAGTTTGACCCATCCGATGGTTTAAGGCCAAGAGATCCAAACCGGCGAAACTGGCCGCGCTGCAGTTGCAGATCGAGCACCGCTGCCTCCCTACAAACAATTGGCTAATAGATCGAACCTACCTAGATCGAAAGGGCGCTGCTATGGTGTCACTCCTGTTTGGCCTCCTTTCGTTACTGTAAGATCGCTGAAACCATAGAGCACATCTTTCTGCAGTGCCCGGGGCCGATTCTGACATGGCGCTGGTGGGACAGGATCTGGCGACAGCTTGGCACTACATCCACATGGCCATGGGACTGGAGGGCCCTCTTATGTGAAGCCTGGTCTTCTCCCACGGACTGTCCCTTTGAAAATAACATGTTCAGGACAGGGAGGAGAGCTGTCTTTTGGGCCCTTTGGTAGAAAAGGTGCATACACACGATTGAAGGAGTCAGAATAGAGGGGGAAGAGGTCACCGAAATGGTATATTCAGGAAGAAACCATGGCACAGTGGCAAAGTGTGAAAGCAAAACAAGATCTGTTTCGAATGAAAAAAGACATCATGCAAGCCATCAAACAGTTTTCCAGGGAATGGCTGGGGAGGGATGGCAGGATAGCCCACATTTGTTGGGAGGGAGGACAGTCTCCGGAGGGGGTGGCGACGTGCTCAGAAGGGACTATGGTATCTGCTTTAACGACTGGAGCAAGGTAGATGCAGCGGTTCCTCTGCGTCCTCCTCCTGATTTCCCCGATCCCTTTCCACCACATCGCCTCTCCTTCGTGGATCTACAGTGGTACGGAGCGGTGTAGGCTTTACCTTCTCAGTCAATCCCCTTGTTTCAGGGTAATCAATGCTGGCAGGATGGCAGTGAGTTCAGCTGTTCAGGGATCACTGCCATCCTGCCAGCATTGATTACCCTGAAACAAGGGGATTGACTGAGAAGGTAAAGCCTACACCGCTCCGTACCACTGTAGATCCACGAAGGAGAGGCATAGGTAGTCCAGCAGGAGAGTAAGTACAGCTCCGGGGTATGTCACGATAGCAGATCTGCAAGAGAGCATCTCTATCTTTGTATACCAAGAATGATGACAATGTTCAGGGACGCTGATGGACCCAGTTTCCAGCAGGTGCTGCTCCCCACCAATAGATGGAGCCTCCTGAGAATGCTAGGGGTGCCTGCTCGTATCGGCACCTCTAGCGTCCACCCGGGGGATTAAAAAAAAAAAAAAGGGGTCTGAATTAATGACCATGCTTCATTTCTTTTCCCCAAATCCCTTAATGTGTGGCTAGGGGTGCCTGCTCGTATCGGCACCTCTAGCGTCCACCCGGGGGATTAAAAAAAAAAAGGGGTCTGAATTAATGACCATGCTTCATTTCTTTTCCCCAAATCCCTTAATGTGTGGTGTTCTCTTTGGGAGAATAGGTGTGGGTTGAAAGGGGAGAATGGTTGGCTGTCAATGGGGAAGAGGGCGAAACTATCACTTCCCCATTCCAACGCAAAGTTTATCGCTACTAACCCTAAATTTCTGATCTTTCTACTGATGTGATGGTGAGGCAAGCTATGATACTTAAACCGCCAGCACCTTTCCCATATGTCGGCCGCGGGCAGGAAAAAAAGGCCCGCTTGATTTCCGCGTAACCCGGCGCAGAATTGATTTTCAAGCGGGGAAAGTTACTAGTAGTGGTTTAAAAACAAAAACAAAAAAGACGGGCGATGGGCTCGAGGTATTATTATCGGACTAACCGACCCACATAAAATTCAATCTTCTGTCTAATCTGACAGGGTGGCTTTATTGCTTTCAGGGGAATATTTCTGATTTTCTGTGGGTGTGATTCCCTATTTCTGTCCGTCTGTTGATTTGTCTACAACCATGAGCCGCTGTAGACCCACGAGTGCATAGTATGATAGGTGACCTTACACATGGCAGGCTGAGTCCCGCTGTAGATTTGTCATTTTCTGTAGATACTCTATTATAGTATTTGAGTTAGATTATGGACAAAACATGGCGTTTCTGAGGTGCTTATAGAGAACAGGACATCAGGCAACATGTCGCTGCTAGCTCTCCGTTCATGCAGATAGATGCAGCTTTAGGGTCAGGACCCTACCAGTAGTTACACCACGTCTTGTCTGTGGTTGGGTGGGTGGGTGTAGAGTGGGTTTTATGGCTACTATGAACGACAAGGCTCTCGGATTTACTGTTGCTCTTGTGAGGGTTTGGATCAATTGCCTGCTAGGATTGCAGGTTCATGGAGAGTAAATTTAACCTCTTTTCTCAGGGAAGGGAGGTTGGTTCCTCTCCCCTCTTCTTCACTGTCGGCAGTGTCGGGGAAGGGGCGAAGGGTGTTGCTGGCCTGGTCAGGAGTTGTTTCACGAATCTTCCTGAATGTTCTCAAATCAAATGTTCTTAACCAAAGCCTGGTAAGGCGCCTGCACTCTAATAAAAAAACGAGTACTTTAGTAGTGCCGATGATCTGTTTCTCAATGGAAGCCGAGCAATGCCCCTGGAACCGTAAACTTTCTGTATAAATGTGCATGTGGGACGCTGGGCCCGATTCCCAGCACATGGCGAGTTCTTATCTATTAGTCAGATGCGTCCAGGGTCAGACTGCCAAGGTTCAACATCCCGGTCAATCGGTGAAAGTACAAGACACCCGTCACAGTCATGCTCTTTTTTAATGGCATTGCGTATAGCACATACGACAAAACACACGTGAACCGGCAGTCTGCTAGGATTGCAAGGTTGGTGCGAGTAAAGTCGACCACTTTTCTCAGGGGTGGGTGTCGCTAACTCTGGGCGATGTGGTGAGTCCTCCATCAGTCAAATGAATCCTGGGCAGACTGCCGGGGGGTTCAACCTCCTGACGAGTCGGTGAAAGTCCGACGAAACAGTCTCTCTGGCACACTAATGCTTTTTTTTAGTGTATAGCGAATATGACAACTCACACACACACACACACACACACACACACACACACACACACACACACACACACACACACACACACACACACACACACAACACACAAATTCACAAACTAGCGACTGATCCAACTAACACACAGACGCGCGCGCACACGCACACACACACACACACACACACACACACACACACACACACACACACAAACACACACACACACATACACATACGAGTACCAATAATCCAACATATTCTAATATGACAAACCAACAAGGGAATTACATCAATACACCCAATAATATGTGAAAGAAACAGATCACCTCGAAATAAA